AGAGCAGCCACATGGAATCATGACCTTTAATAATGTCATAAAGGTATACGGGTCAGAGAAGGCTTCCAGGAAAGTGATCTTGGTGGGAAACAATTATTCTGGTGGAAATGGCAGAAAGCTATTGCAAAAATCTAGGCTGGCAATGATGGTGTCTTGGACTGGAGAACGGAAGGCCTGGGTGGGGAGTAGTTTGACATCAGCTATAGTCTGAGATGACAGGATTTACTGATGTATGTGAGGGGGCGGGGGGAGTAATGGGGTCTCCATTAACTGAGACAGGAAAGACTCAGGGAGAATATTTGAAGTATGGGATAGAAATTGGGAGTTTGGTTTTGGATATAAGTTTAAAAAGTCTGAAAAACATCCAAGGGGAGATATTTCTTTCAGCAGGAGGCACGACAAACAACGGCCGTGGTAGCTGTTATTTTTCATCATTTCAGCATTTGACACAAATCCCTGGAAGTTGGAACTTGCTAACATCTGTCTCAGATGACAGAATCCTTGCCCACCAAAAGCCGCTCACACTTAGGTTTCTCATTCCACATAAACACACGGGTATGCATTCCACTTGGTTCTCACTCCCTTCTATTGGTTTTGTCATCCTGTGACATCTTAACTTAAGCAAAGGACAAGTTTAGGAAGCTCGAAGACCTTCTATCTCCATTGCCAATTTTCTGGGCCCATTCATTTACTAACTATGTTTATTAAGCACCTCCTCTGGGTGTCAAAAATCAAGCCTCCATTGCCCATAGTGGTGACCTCAATAATGCCCTGTGTATTGCTGTGTCCTCCCTCCCTGTTTTACTCTCCTTACTTCCTCACTCTCATTCAAGGGAATCTTTATCTCAGGCTCTGCTTTTGGATAAACATAAATGATGCTATTCAAGTAACAACCAGCAATGAATTAGAATAAACTGTTGAAGCCATAATGGACATTCTTGTTGTCTGGACGTGTCAGGGCATGGGAGCGTGTTTCTTGGAGGCCCCTGCTCAGGTCTGCGGGAAGGGGAGGAAGGAGAATGCCTGTGGACAGGGGTGGGCAGCACTGCGTATCATCAGGCAGGCTCCCAGTCACATCCTCTGTCAGCCTCACACTTTATTTTCTGATTTCAGAATGGGAAGGCGCATTCCGGTGGCTATGGCCTTGGACACCGGCAGACATGGGATTGGGGCCCTAGGGTTCTGCTCCAGAAACTCGCCACCACCACCAGAGTCTTAAGCTCTCCTGGGAGGCTCTACATTTGCTGCTTGCTGTTCCGGCCTCACGGTTCCGCCCCTGCAGAGGTTTTGGCCCCAAACCCTTGGCTTGCATCTGGCTGTGCCCCTAGAACGAAGTGCTACTGCACTGAGACTCTGAGGGTGGGAGGCAGTGAGGCAGCAAGGAGTATTGATTGGGGTTTGGTTGATAGGTGGTGTGAGCCTGCCTCTTTAAGGAGGAGTCCTGGAGGAAGGGTCTCAGGACCCAGGGTATCCTGGTGTTTCTCCTCCCAGGGCTCCCCAGCCAACCCCTCAGATCTCCCGAGGTCCCACGAAAAGGAGCTCAGAGCATCCTTGGGAAAGAGTGGTCAGAGCGCCCTCAGCCTTAAAATCACCATACTTTGGGCCTCCTCTGACACTCAGCACATCCCAGCCCATCATCTCTGTGCCCCTCCATCAGGACTGGTGATTACTACCCTCCCTGTTCCCCCCACACTAAGCCACATAGCGCAACACGGCTCCTGTTTGCCTTTCTGGGAAGCCCTGCTCTCCATGCCCCCTCTTCCCCGCCACACCAGGCCTTGGCCCAGCTCAGCAGTCACTCCTGGTGTTCAAAGAGGAGAACATGTCCTGAAGGAGGGACTGGGTGAACCCCGGTCAACTCTCCCATGGCCAGGTGCTGGGTGGAAAGAGAGCACAGCTCTTTCTGGATAGCGGTGCTCAGCATGGTAGCCCGAGTACCCTCGCACCAGCCATAGCCTGTGTGCTCAGGAGGGTACCTTGTGTTCTGGGAGGAAGGGCCGGATTTTCTCTTGGATCCAAGTTTTGC